CATCCTACAAGGCTGCAGCTGCCCTCTGCAACCAGGATGCACCTCCATTTCTTTCTAGTGCGTATCAGCATGGAGATAAACAGGCATTGGTGCAACAGCACTGCTCTAGGTTTACTCGGTAGTCTGATGTAGGCCAAGGTTCCACTTGCTTGATGCAGCTTCTTGCGCTACGCTCCAGCTTTTTCACTTCACCGTGTTTGACCGTTCGGAAAACCTCAGCAAGAATGGGATCCACTGCTGTGTTGTCGGCCAGTTCCTTTTCAGTCATGGGAGGTTTCGTCGGGGCTTCTAACATCAGTACGTTGCCTGAAGGATGTTGCTCATTGTCAGTCTCGGGCAATGGTAGTCTGCCTAAAGCATCAGCGTTTTAATTTCGCTTTCCTGGTCTAGAGATTAGGTTATAATCATAGGCTCCCAGCTTAACACACCAGCATGTCCTACTTGGTGAAAGCACAGTCGGTACTGGGGACTCCTGTCCTATGATGCCCAACAGTGGTTGGTGGTCAGTCGTTATGGTCACGTGATGCGCCGCAACGTAGCGATGAAAACGGTCCATGGCGAATATAATAGCCAGCCTTTTACGATCCAATTGGGAGTAATTCTTTTCACGTGACGCCTTGCGACGTAGTGATGAAAACGGTGTATGGCAAAGATAGTAGCCAGCCCCTCACAATCCTGTTAGAAGAAATCCTTTTCGACCTTAATGAGCATTCTTGATGTAAAGACGATCGGTGTTTTGTTTCTATCTGAATCTAGCTGAGCTAATACTGCCTCGATGCCGTAGAGGGTTGCGTCACATGACACGCTCAAGCTTTTGTTTTTATCGTAGTGTGCGAGAACTGCACGCTGTGCAATAACATACTTTAACTGTCTAAAGGCTCGCCAATTTGTTTCCTGCCATTCACCGGGGACGTCTTTCTCTAGAAATATGTAGAGGTCTTTCGTGATTGTTGCCCTGTTTGCCAAAAACCGATCGAAAAACGCTAGAAGACGAAGAAACGACTGCAGCATTGTTTGGCATGTTGGTTCGGGCATCTCTTTGGTCGCTTTCAGTTTCTCCTCTGTCGGGTGTATCCCGGCAGTATCGATGATATATCTGAGGTATCCAACTTGTTCCACTGCAAAACGTAACTTGCACCTCTTGAGTTGAAGTCCAGCCTGAGCAAGTCGCATGAAAACTGTATCCAGTTGAGTCATGTTCTGCTGCGGTCGTACCGCTGATAGCGTCATCGAGGTATACCCCGATCCGCGGGATTTTAGGTAGTACTGCTTTCATGAATCGATAGAAAATCGCTGGTGTTGGCGGCGATCCCAAATGGCATCCTTTTTACCCTGTAGAGGCCTTTTGCAGTGTTAATGGTTAACACGTCGGCTGTTTCTGTTGTTAACTGTAGTTGTTGATACGCTTGAGCAAGGTCCAGTGTAGAAAATACCAACCTGTTTTGCAGATTGGTTAGGATTTCTGGAATCGTCAGCATAGGGTGCACTGCGGCTTTCGCCTCCTTGTTTACCGTACTTCGGTAGTCTCCACATAGCCAAATGGTCCCGCCTTTCTTTCGGACAACTACCACCGGTATAGCCCACTCTAAGTGCTTTGTCGGTTCGAAAATACCTTGGTTCTCGAGAGTTTTCAATTCAACCTCTACTGCGGTACGCAGTGCGAACGGCACGGGCTGTGATTGGAGGGAATTGGCAGTAGCGTCCCCTTTTAAATCAAAGTTTACAGGCGGACCCTTGTGCCCCGTGATCTTCGCATCAGAAACATCCTCATGTACCTTCAAAATGTTCACAATGTTGTTTCTGGTGCCGAGGAGGTGAATTCCACAGACCCTAATCTTCAGCTCTTTGAACCAGTCTCTTCCTGAAGACTGGAACTGGTTCCACGTGTCACTACCAACGACAAGATGTATTGTTTCAATCAATGCCTGACGGAAACATTCGCCTTTCCAAGTACTTGTAAAATTTCTCCTGACCAGGTATGAAGGATTATTCCCTCCTGGTTCAGTGATTGGGGCTTCGTGGGCTACAGAGGACAATACGTGGCTTCATTGATGATTGAGCAAGCATCTGTCGAATTGATCTCAAATTCCAGCTCTCGGTTTTCAATCTCCAGGATGACCTTAGGCAGCATTCAGCTCATGCAGGCTCCATGACTTGTCCGAAAGATCATCATCAGAATCAAGGGTCTCATTGTCCTGTTCCACGTTGTGTGTCATCCACGCTTGGTGCTGCGCCCTTAACTTCTTGAAACAAGCCTTTTTGACATGCCCCTTCTTGGGGCAGAGGTTACATCGTGTATTTTGGAACTTGCACGAGAACGCCGAATGCTGTTCTTGGCATCGGTAGCACGTCTGGGATTCTGACAGTTTGTTTTGTCTTTCCGTTTCCACAATTTCAGCAGTAATATTGCTTTTTTGACAGCTTAAACCTAAGATTTTTGGGTTTTCAAATCTCGTTGATGTTGTGCAGCACTTTCTGTCCGCACGGCCATGTCGTATGCTTTATGAAACGTTAAGTTGGTCCCTGCAAACAGACTCTGTTGTAGATGCTCGTCTCTTATGCCACGAACAAAACAATCTCGGCCTGACGTCGAGAGGTAGCATGGTTGGGTTGAAAACTGGTTGACTCACCGGAACTGAAGTTCCAGTTGCTCCCAAGTTGACGGAACCAGCTGTCGTTCCAGTTGTAGCCAAACCCATGCCTGCGGTACTGGAAGTTGTTGCAGCCGCCTGTGTCACTAGAATCCCAAAGTTACAATCAGCAGCTAGCTTCTTTAGGGCTGTCGTGTAGCTGGAAATTGACTCCCAGGCTGCTGGTCTCTTCGCTGGAACTTCGTTGTGCCGAAGAGCTCCGACGGCTGCGGGTCAAAGCAGCATCACCATGAGTTCACCGAAATTGACACTTCTGGGTGTTCTCGGTGCAGCCAGTGCTCGCACGACTTTGTACGTCTGTGCTCCACAACGTGTAAGCAGTAGGGCCCTTTTCTTTTAAGGATCTGTTATTCTGTTCGCCTTGCAGTAGAAGCTGTCTGGTCGAATTCTTCCAGCTTGCCTTGGGTGGTCATCCCGCTGTAGTTCTTGGACGTTGACCGACCTCGTCGCTAAAATGTAATGTATCCTGGGTAAAGCCCAAGCACAACACCAAGGAGCGTCCAAACGTTGCTTTTTAATGGTGCCTCGAATCCCAATGCCCGTGCACACGTACCGTGCCCCAGGCCCGTGCTTTTGAAGAGCGCTGGTAAGTGCATTTGCCTGGCAACGCTATCTCTTGGCCACCAGCCGATACATGACAGAAGCCAGTTCTTGGCCGACTTGCATCCGAAGATTTTGTTTAAAGGCTCAAAGTTTCAATCTTTGCATGAGGAAAAAGTTGATCGCCACATGCAGTAGTAGAGTAAAAATGTTTCAGGAGCCAAAAGACAAGAAAGGGGGTTATCGGAGGCTGCTGATATTAGCGAGGACAGGGCAGATGGTATAGGAAGGAGGTTGGGTTAAAAAAAAAATCCCAACTTGCCTCATGAATATGATCAAGAATGGAACGCAGGAAGTGTTGTTGCTTGTAAGGAGGCCCTCTAGAGGTGGCTCTTTACAGTGCTTGGCTGGTAGTTTGAAGACCATGGCATTCTCAAAGGAGGCATCCGAGACCAATTGGACTACTGGAATTTTTACGGAATTTGCAGACTGGTAGTTGTCCTTCTCAGCTCTACTTTGCTCTTCTCTCGGGTGTGCACGCCATATCCTCTGCGATTCTTCTCAGTAGTACCCTTGCTTGTCTCCCAAGCCACCTGGGAACGGGCCCATTCATTGGGAATGAGACCATTGGAGATGGAGTTTGCTCTCCGCTTGGTCATTACGATTTTCATCCTCATCTGCTGCTTGGTCATCTGGTGGTGAGCAGTCATAATCCTGCAGGTGGTGAAAGCCGTGGTGTATCCTATGACGATGATACAAAAACTAACTAATTTGCAAAGTGGGTTGGTATTTTTTACACTGGACCTTACTCAAGCATATGAACTACAGTTGCCAGCTGCATTTTTGTGCCTTGCTTCAAGACTTGATCACCACAAGTGTTACAAATCTGGTTTAGACAGTGATTTCCAAGGTGACTACGTATCAGCTGTTTAATAACAAATGTAAATTTTCTTACATTCATTGGCAAAGAACCACCGCCTTTCCCCACCTCTTTGTTTTGTCCTTCCAGCGAGCAACACTTGCAACTTCATTTTGGTCAATGAACCGTTTGAACCCAATGACTGCCTCGGAATTCTCGAGTTTCAGGTGCTACTGTGACACTTTGTTTTATGTTAGTCTGCCTTTTCTGTGGACAAATGCAGCTTTGCTTTGAATGGAAGCTCATATGCAGGATATATGCGCCAATTTTGCTGGAGGCTCAAGTTCTTGCTACAAAGATATACGAGAATTTGGAATTACCATACATGTATTTGTCTAGACCTTCGACTTGGTTGCCGGTGTTGCACCATGCACACGGTGCAGTGCAGTTAATGCGAATAAGCTATCGCTAGTTTTTAACTTCTACTTTTGCAAATCAAATGTTTATCACTAAAACCACTTATGCAGTAAATAGGAGCGACTTACCATAATATACCAAGAGACAGCCCACGTAAAACTGAGAGCATATTAGGCGAAAATACAGGGTGGACTAACTTTCAGCGTGCAAAATTGAGTTCAACTAAAGCCATTAGGATAATAAGAAGTTATGCTGAAAATCAGGGTGGGCTATCTTTTGGGGATGGGTCTTCTCTTGAGATATTATGGTAGATGATAAAACTTAGCTTCTCCCTCTTCACTGCCTGAACAGTCTGAAAAAGCACAGGTGAAGTTCCGCTCTGTTGAATGAAAAATGCATTATAATCAGGAAAACTTAACTGTTCACGTTATCGTACCTACTAGTCATTAACGACCTCGCAAGCCATTCTTAGGTTCATAGGTTGCAACCTATTGCTAAACTTACGAGCCTAGAGCTTGGCGACATTTGCTGTCTTTTATTGATGAAGGTGTCTTTGAAGGGCTGGACAAAACATGCCGTAAACGAGTCCTTCAGGTGGCCAATACTTTTTTTATTTTTTGAACCCCCTGTATGTCCCATCTGTGGACGGGAATTCTTGCCGAATCTGACAGACGACGCAGCTGGGCAGCACCACTCGGTTTCCCCGCCCCAGCCTCTTGTGCACCCACCAGGTGAACTGGTGGTATGCCGTGTAGCGGTACTTCCTGTAATGAGATGAGATGGCAGAAACCAGCGTTGAACTCTGAGCAAAGAGGGAAAAGCTAATCACTATTTGCTTCTGACCTTTTCTACTATGCGTTTGTATAGTGTCAACAATCTCCAATGACATCTCGCAGTTTACATCATTACTGTCCTGTAGCATGGGGAACTTCTAACAACATTTTGTATGCAGAAGGATTTTAATTATATTTAATACTGCTTGAACAAGTGTATCTTCACTGTTTGTTGGCATTTAGTTTTTCGGGCTTTTCATTGCAGTATCGATATTTATGTTGTGGTCTATAGACAATTGTGCGGTTTCACGGTAACGAGATTGTCATTGTAGGAAAGAGCAATAAACTTTTTTTGGTGGAATTCTGAAAGCATGGGTACTCTCTCTAATTATTCTGAAATGATGTCTGACCCTGTTTATTTACATGCACAGTGTGGCAGTTAACAGATAAATGATGTCTGACCCTGTTTATTTACATGCACAGTGTGGTAGTTAACAGATAAATGATGTCTGATTCTGTTTATTTACATGCACAGTGTTGCAGTTACCAGATAAGCACACTGCTGTTATTCTTTTTTTTTTCTTGAAAGGTGTGCGAGTACCTAATCGTAGTAGCTAAATCGAATTAAGAACCGATCATCGAATAGAAGACCATGTGTATGTAACAAGCTCAAATACAAGTTCCTGTGCAGTACCAGCTGCTGAACATTATTGGTGGTCAGTCATGCTAATTGGGCCATAACAATGTGGCCACTGAAATAAAATTGCCTATCACATTTTTTTTCTTGTAACACATTGTGCTTTCCAACTATGTTTTCATTTTAAACGCTCCAGTGCCCCCTAAAATTGGTATCCGTTAGTGGCACAAAAGCTTGCTTTTAATTTATCTTTACCCTGTCGCACTACACCAGGGTGGACCGGTAAAATTAAAATGTATTTTGCATATTTGGAAGTTCAATACAACAGCCTGCTAGAATGGAGGGAAGGAAAAAGTATTTCGCTTGTGCTGCACCAACCACATCTTTCGCAATACCTAATATGAGAAATCAGATTTGCAAATAGAATTATTTGAGAGCTTCATGTTCGATTCATATTCAAATATTTGCACACCGTATAAATTTCTTGTTCTTAGGAGAATAATGACATTTATCAATATTACTAGTGTGGTGAAATGACCACATATCAAGATTTTGATTTTAGAGACAGGATTTTTCATAATGCCTGAAAAAAGCATGACACCAACGCTGTGTTTGTAGCTGTAAACACGAATATTTGGAGTGGAAGCCAGCCGTAACAACTAGAATGACTGCAATAAGCTGCAGGGGTGTAATCAACAAGGGGGGGGGTCTACAGCCCCCCCCCCCACAAATATTTAGCTGACACTATAATATACACATGCATTTTGAACCCCCTCCCCCTCTCCGCACCCCAAGTCGTGGACATCCCGGCCACCTTGGCCCCGACCCCGACAAAAAATTCCTGGCTACACCACTGATCAGTTGAATATACATACTCCTCTTGGGTCCGGTTCCCCGCATCCAAAGGGCAGAAGTATTGCATTGTGACATACGCCAGGTCCAGCACTGGCCTGTTCAGGCAGTAGAGCTCGAACCAGGGGTGCTTGGTGATACAGGACACCCCCTGGTCCTGGCAGAGCTCTCTTGCACGGTCAACCTCTCGGCAGCACAGGGACTCGTAGTCCGTCAGCATCGCTCTGCAGCCGTTGCAAGAGCACCTGTTGGGACAAATTTTGCTCAATGAATGAATGCCGGAAATACAAGGGCACTACGAAACTTTACTCGATGTTTTCTAAGGTGTTTGCAACATCTACCTCATCCATAAAACTTTGATAATGGCAGTTTTCGGTGCCGAAAACTGCCATTATTATCGCTCGCGCGTTGGAGCCTGTCGGGCTGAGGCGACCGCACGCCGGCAATCGCCACAGCGTATCTATGTTTTGCAACTGCTAATTCGTAAAGGTAGAGTGCGCATGCATAGCCTTGATCGGCACCAAGAAGATGGAGGCATATCCTGATATCATAGCAACATCCCGCCGTTTCAATACATGCCGCGCCTGCCAATCGCGAAAATATGTACGAAATAAAAATGAAATATTTCTTGATCGCGAATGAAATAGAAAACTTACCAATTCGCGGAGCCCACACGACGGGCTGGTGGTGGCGTGTCCGGCCCGTCCCCGTCGCCTTCAGATGAAGACGACGCAGATGGGTCGTAAATGTACGGCTGTAAGCCGAATCGGCGATCTTTCACCATCGCAGAAGCGATGTCTTCGTCCTCGCTGGTGTCGCTAAGTTTTCTGTTTCCGCGACACGCCATCGCGACACAAAGCACGAACCGACTACCGTGTTTGGCACGGGATTAGTGGGTTCACGGACACTGGGATCACAGGGTGGCCGTGTTTGCCGGGTGGCCGGGTTGTGACTTGTGAGGCCGTTCAGACCGCAGGCAGGTCAAACGTATAGGTTGTAACATAACTTTACTCGTGAACGCCACCAAGTGACGAAATTCATAACCACGTCAGCCTCGCCGCAGCTTTCCTCCAATCGTTGATTGAGACGTCCTACGTCATGACTGCGCCGGATGTGACGTGGCCTCCGCTGGCTGTTCTCCGACTGCTTGCCAGAGTGGGCCGTTTAGAACGAAAAATACAGCCATCTGCTCAAAATACGGACGTGCGGTTGTCATTTTCGAGTATTGTGGATCATAGTCGACCTATTTCTGTACACGGCGGGTAAAATTCAAATTTCGTTGAAGTATCCCTTTAAACGGAGACAACCGATACCCACTTACTTCGCGCACTTTGCGTCTTACCTTTGCTGTTCCTCGAGTCACAATTCCTTCGTCAACCGCACATCACGGAGAAGGGCAAACTTACTCCGCGGAACCAAAAGCCGCTCTCGAAAGAACAAACTCGAAGCCGCTGTTTATCGCGTAGCGTGAAATAAGGTTAAATCGCTAGCCACCAGATGGCGGGGTCAAGCAGACTAATTGCAAGTAGCTAAGCTAGGTGGCGCTAGGTACCGCCCAATTCATGTTCTACAAAAAATAATTTGCTTCTCTCAGGCTACTACTGTGCCTTGAGGATCCTCTACTATACACACATGACACCCATTACACTTATTACAAGCATCAGGTGAACATACATTAAGCACACGCACTGCACACACAAATATCAATACAACGGAACACCACACTAACCCGAACACTACACCGGTGCTCTGCGTTTCTGTCTTTTATACTGGTCGTTTTGAACGTGCGGAACTTTCCGGTGACTCCCTAAGCAATAAAAAATATTCCCAGCATGTTCATTTTTTCCCAGCAATGTCATACCTCTGAGAGTATTTTGAATGGCTCAGGGGTTGAATCTCTTATTAAAAAGTAAACGCTCAATCATGCCGCAATTATTTGAAAGCCAAAAAATCAAGCCGCTCCAATGCGGTTCGAAGCCATGAGTTTGTTTCCCCACACGGCACGTCGTAGCCTGTATTTCTATTTGTTTCTCTATTTCTGCTGTTCGCGCAAAGCTGCAATTGTCGTCTTGAATTAATCTCTGTAGAGCGGATATTCAGTCAGCTGGAAGTGATGCTTCACGGACTGAGAAATTGCTTTTCCATCAACTTAAATGCAGTCAAAGCCGCGACTTGCGGCAGGTGTTAAGTGTAAGGAGTACGGAGCTACGCCGTGGCGAGCCCGAAAACTTCTAGCGCTCATTCCAGCGCGCCACGGAGGGCAGTTTCTCCAGCAACCGTAGTATAATTAAACAGCAAAATAGGGGGTAGCCTTTTTTTTTTCTCAATTTTACCTACTATTGTTTTTAATGCCGAAATTCCATACTGTAAATATACGTACTTTACGTCACGATTTCGTACTGTTCAGTCCTTGCTCCTGTGCGCGATCGCTCTCGGGGACGAGACAATTCCGACAGTCACATTGGCCACTGTACGATAGGAGCTTCTACTGTTCAGACCAGCGTTCCAACATGACTATTCGCACATTGATCGATTGCACGTAATCCCTCAAGTGGTATTAAACTTTTTAATGTAAAGCGGAATGTCAACCTGCGACACCCCATCCCCTCCGATCACAACCCGACCAGCGGCATCAATGCCCAACAGTTTACGATCTCATCTTCTTGTTACACCACTGATACGCGAACACATGGTCACATCAGCGATAATTCCAGTCTTCTGTTCACAACCCAACACTGCCATCACGATGTTGCAGCTATGTTGCTGACACGCACAAACACAGAACCACGTTGAACGCCGGTTGCACTCGGCATCGGAAAACAGAACCGAACTCAGGGGGGAAGGCACCCAGGCAGCCGGCAGCAAAACCCGCCTGTCTTGGACGCAGTTCTTGCGGTTTCCATAACGTCGAAAACGTCGACACAGTTCCGCGTGCTTTCGCTACTGTAGTCTATAGTGCTGCAGTGGCTGTAGTTCCGTCAGTTCCGTGCCGCGCGAGTCACGCAATCCGGAGACGGCCATCCCCCAGTGTACGTGGCGCTGCTGGCACTGCTCCGGAACTTCGCTGTTTCTAGCGGCTTCGTTTGCTCGTTTCATAAAATTAGCGATAAAAACGTCAATGCAACCGAAATGTTCTGGACGTTTAAACTAGAAGACGGAATTACAGGCGGCCTTCGCTGCTGCTGAAGCTCAATCAACTCAACAGCTATTAATTAAACAACGTGCGCGACCTGCTCGAAAAACGAAACCGAAAGACGATGAGTCGGGAGGGCGAAAGCTTTCACCCGTCTGCCTGGAGAAGGAGAAAAACGTTTCGTTCCTCCCCTTTTCTCGTGTCCGCTTGGGGGCGCGTCGGTAGAAGGGAGGAAGGCGCGCCGTTGCTACTTTTTTCCTCCATTTTTTCTTAGAGTGCAGTTCTCCTCGATCTGTGATTGGTCTGTCGCTGCGGTTGTTTCGGTTGTTTCCAACGCAGCGGGAAAAGTTGGGCTCGCTCCAACTCCTTGCGTCGTGAACGACACATGCGTGCGTCCCTCCGTCGCTATGGTAACTGACGGTTGCGGACCCTTGCAACGGTCGTTTCGGTGTTCCAGTCGTTGCACAAACACGCGCGCTTTTGCTTGAGTGGTGACATCTCAGTCCTTTTTCTGCGCAATCGTCTTTTTCTTTTTTTCGTTTTGCTTTTTTAATTGCGCCAATCTGGTGTCACTCAGTTCGAGCGCGTAGCTTTGGCTAATTAATGCATAGACGCCATTTTACCGGCCAAGTCACGCACCGAGTACGCGAGAGCGTCATGCGCTGGCACATTCGGGGCAACAATGGTTGTCTTCACCCTCAGACAGACAGACATGTAGGCACCCTACTCCTGAGCGTACAAGCGCGCCCTATCATCTGCCGTACTAAAGGCGCGAACGTGCAGCGCTTTTGTACCGTTTCAAATCCACCGAAGTTGTTCCAGATAGGGCACCCAAATGGCACTACCCTAGGCAGAACATTCAAGCACTTTATTCTCATTCGATTAGCGCCGTTGGGAGGAACATTTACGAAATTACAGTCAGTGCGCAGGCGGGCTGGTGGAAGTTTACCATGACAGTTTTAACCCGATAGCGAAGCCGGCCGCTACGGCCGCCTTAGCGCTTGTGCCGCGAGGCGGTTGCCCATGTTAACACACGAATAAAAAAAAACACATTTGTTTGACCATATCCTATGCTCACAAAGCCTGGCAGTTCAATGACGGAGCCACAGAGTACCCGGTTGCAGATTTGGAGTGCGAGCATCTGGTAGCACAGAGCATTTCTCGGGGAGTCTGGCATTCAGCGCACAGCTTTTACAGCGGTGAGGACCCGAAACATGGTTTTCAAACCCGACGAGAAAAGAAGCGGTAGCCAGAGGAACGCGAGAAGCACGAGTGGACATTCCATCGCTCGAGACAAGGGTGTTTCGGCGTCTCGCCGCAGCGGGGCGCCAAGTTACATGCCTCTTGCAGAGCTGTTTATAGTGAGAAAGTTCGGCCTTCTTAAGGAGATTTTGACAGCCTAGCAACCACAGCAGCGTCATCTGACAACCGGGGAGGACTACTTCCGTCCGCCATTTTGTGGCTCTGACTCATAGGAACTTTATGTGATTTCTCAGTAATAAACAACACAAATAAGTAATACCATTTTGTGTTATTGCGAGATGCGCTGGTCCTAGCGGGCAACAAGCTTCGCCCATTTGCCAAACTCTCTCAGGTTAAACGGCTCTGGACTCTCGTAAAGCCCCTCTATACTGGGAAAAGTGGCGCCATTCATTGTTGTGGAAATGCTCGAAAAACGTGCCGCGCCGCAGTTCTAGGAAGAACATGGCGTCTGAAATCTAGATAGAGTGTACTAGAAGGGACGAGTGGGGCCACCGAAGTGCTATTTAGGTACCTCCACAGTCCGCATATGGAAAAAACCGGCTAATCCAAGTCACTTTGCTCGTAGCGCCCTCTCGGACGCTACGAGCGAAGTGGTTCGGATTAGCCGTTTTAAGGGCCAAGCTCTTAAGGGGTATTCACAGGAGGGAGAAATCCCGGGAATTTCTCCACGGCACGCGCATCCCACAACGAAAACGTCAGGCTTTGCGGTGTGCAAAAGCCTCGCATTTTCGTCTCGTGATGCGCGCGTGCCGGGGAGAAATCCCCGGGATTTCTCCCTCGTGTGAATACCGCCTTAGGGGCTAGCTAGAGCCACTCGATATGGCAGCGTAGCTGTCAGAGTAGCGCCACGCTTTTCCCTGTGCCGCCTCTCACCGCGATTGGTCACACGCGGTACCATAGCAACGAGCTGAGCTGGCTCGGTTTCCGTAGCAACCGAGTGACGACTCGTCACGTGACCTCTCGAGAGCCGTGATGTCATCGGTAAGATGGCAGCACCCAGAGCTGGTGGATGCGAGTTTGTTCGGTGCGCGAAGTCGTGATGTGCCGCAGTTTGCCGACGATTTAGGGCTTCTTCGTGCTTTCTGACGTAGGTATAACGTGAAGATCTGAAAGGATTATACTTTATACCCTTTCTGTGCAAGATCGCTCTGGATATTAGCACCTGTGCGACAGCATCAGTAATATCGCCTTAGCGGTGCTCGGGTTTCCGGATGTGTTTGAGGATCGATAAGACATTTAGCATGCAATTTTCACATTCTCTTAGCTTTATTTGAACGTTGGACTGTCTGAGAATCGATGCGAAATCCATGCGTCGCATGTTGGGCCTTGGGGAATTCGTTTCTGCCCCAGGTAACCGCACGATTACAAACTTTAGCGAGGAAGCTCCTGCGATGTTTACGTTTTGTACTAATCAACCTTGGTTCAATCCCCACCCCCGCCCGTTTCGATCTGGATGAGCATCGTACCGGCCTGCGGTTCTGTATCACTACTGCGTGGTGCACGTTAAAGACCTATAGACCCCAGGCTAGCGGTTA